CAAAAGCGCTGAAGCTTCGAAGGGCAGGTTGTAGTCGCCACAAAAACTGCTCTTAAGAATATATTCGCCAACGTGAAGTTGCGCTTGAGACCAGCAGAAAATGTACCAGTATTGGAAGCTTCAGATGGTTAGCCCCCAACCTCGAGGACAGATAGTGCGTCCGCATTGGCGGTGCACTTCGCTTCCGTATTTGCAAGTTACCAGGCGTTTGTACCGAGTTCGACGAGTACTGCCCACGTGGAACTAGACAGCCTGGATTTCAGCATTGAAAATGTATGCAAGATGCTGGCAAGTCTTGAGGGGCCGAAGCATGCCGGGCCAGATGCAATCCACCCACTGATCCTCAAGTCCCGATTGTCCGTCATCTCACCTTCTGTTACTGAGCTGTAAAACGGGTCATTATCCACTGGTTTATTACCGAGCGGCTGGAAATGTTCAGTCGTGATGCAAATACCGAAAGGTGGCGACCAAAGCAAAGCGGATAACTACCCCTGCTTTGACAAATACGTTTGAGCAGACAGTGAGGAAGAGTCTTTGCAAGCTTCGCAAGTGGAAAAGCCTCTTGGCGCTTGCATATCACGGTTTCGTAGAACGTCACTCGTGCATCACTAACCTACTGTTGACGAATTTCGAATGGTTTGCAAGCGCTAAACCAAGGTAAGTAAGGCGATGTCATTTACAATGCCTCCAGTAAGGCCTTTGACAAGGCGAATCATGAAGTGCTCTCCGACAAACTGAGGGTATGCGATGTTGGCAACTCGTTGCACCGATGGATCAGAATTTCTTTGTTGGTCGAAAGTGGAGGGTCCAAGTAGACAACCGACTGGTATCCATTGAGCGGTGGTGCGCCCCAAGGCCCTGTACCGGGGTCCATTTTGTTCCTGACCCATATAAACGATATGCCTCAGATACTCTGTTCAGCTTGTGTGTTATTTACAGATGACTTAAAGGTTTGGAGAGTAATCGACGCACCCCAACACAATGACCTGCTTCAGCAGGACCTCGACCGCCTCTCCAGGTGGTCTGCACAGGTAAGCCTTCCGATCAACCCGGTCAAGTCGCAATTCGCGAGGCTTGGTAGGTGTGACCACAGTTGAACCTACACTGTGGCCGGTCAACCGTGGCATCCCGCGCCTTTCGTGCGAGACCTCGGTGTACTCTCATGCTATGGACAACACGAATAGACTTCACCAAAATTACCTTCGTATCCTTTGGGCGCTCAAGCGCAGCTTCAGCAGTTGGTTCGAAAAGATTGCCACGCCTCTTCATCTCAATAATACGACCAATGGTAAAGTATGGCTCGCTCGCGTCTTGTCCTGTCACTCGGGGCGAGGTAGAGACGGTTGTGTGAGTGCAGCATGTGATCACCCGCCTGATTCTAAATTTACCAGGTGTGCCGTACGAAGACCAGTTTAAGGTACTATGGCTTTAAACCCTAGGTTATCGTCGACTGCAGGTTGACCTCATCATCACGTAACGGATATTACATTTCGGTGAATACCCCATGTTGAGGCCGCTGTTGTATCTGCGCTCACCAAGCAGCACATGAGGAAATCGGTACAAATTTGTAGTACCGGATTTGAAGAAGGTCTCCTACTAACACTGTTTCAAAAGGACATTGGCGAATGTGTAGAACAACCTGCCACAGCACGTAGTTGAGACAAAGTCGGTGTCGGAATGCAAAGTTCCTTGACAAACACTTTGCCAAGATAAACTATACCGAGTGTATTCCAACCTAACGGATCTTTGTACTGAAAGATATTAGATGCAGCCAAACACTAATATCTCTTCTTGCTGCTTCCAACCAATAATCTGTAAACAGTAAGCAGTATTCCAAGGTCATTTAAGGAATATCCACTGTGGGAATATCGTGTTTTACTTACAACGAACATTGTCACCAACTTGGTGTCGAGCCGAGTTGGATTCGACGCCTTTTATAAACTGTTTCATAGTCCAGATAATTTGTCGAGCAGTACACTGCAGTTTAAATCTTGAGTGGGGTAAAATATTAGGAATCGAAGAAATGTACTCTAATCTGGTAGAGCCAAGACTGAGCTACGTCCGACGTTTCATCTTGCCAGGTACTCGATGATCTGGTATTTTCTCCCAAACGACGTAAGATCCACAAGTTCACACAACCAGTTTAGAGTTAACGTGAAAACTTGACTAACAATTAGTAATCTTAGATGTATGTCCCAGCTAAGCGTTATTCTTGGTGCTAATTGACATCGCGGGCGGTATTTTAATGCTGAACAGCGCATTCTCTCTCCGTTTCACTTTTTTGCCTTTACTAGGTCATAGTTGGCCGAGTGTTTCACCCCCCACAAGAAAGCTGAAAAGGAGATAATAACGATTTTCCACCTTCAATGCCAACTCCGCTAGTTCTTTCTGCCCTTATCTTGTTATAATATCTCGATGCTTCATCTCGTCGAAATTTTTAAAGTACAACTACAGCGCACCCTAACCCTCAGCAGTATAGTTTAAGTTGGTTTTGGCACTCGGTATTCACCAGTAGGATTGACACTCAGACCAAGTTTAACATAAATTGGATCCAGATTTGAACTTTCCCCACGCCGGAACATTTTCATAACAAAATTTGCAATCAGTTTGCACCTACCGGGTTGGTGTCCCAAACTATTTCTTTTCACATAGCGCTCCAGCGTAGCTCCTGTAATTGGTCCGCTGAGATTGCCACTCGCCTCCTCATTTCAAGCAAACAAGCGATACTAGAGCACGGCTCACTCACGGCAAAGTGCTAAGGATTGAGCGCGCATAGCAAGCGGCCACCAGGCTTATCTCCGTTCTACCTAGTGTGCAGTAGGAAGACTGGTACCAAAGTTTTGGACTAGAGTGCCGGTTGTCCTCATCATGGCCTACATCGTCGTGATTATCCCATTTTCAGGCTGATATTCCATATACGCAAACTAAGTAGCACACGATGGCACTGGTGCAAGCTCGCAGTACCGGATTTGAAGCGGGTCACTCACTTCGAATGGGGAGTAGTGAATACAAGAAGCATCTTGCCACCGTGTTATAGGAGAAAAAATCGGTCTGAATTTAGTAATTCCTGGTCTAAGCTTTATAGATGTGAAATATCCTGAAGGCTCTCCAACATTATAGGACATTGTGCCCGAGTGATATTAGATGCAGATAAACGAAGACATCCCTTCTTGTTGCCTCCGTACAGTATTCAGTATAGCACCATCGCATGTTGAATACCTTGCATTTCGCCGTTATTCGTCACAGTTGGTATTCTACCCAAAGCCTTAAACGGTTTGTTTCAAAAGTGTTTCCACATCTTATAGGTATCAAAGCTTTTTCCATATGCCAGACTGAATACGTTGTTTACTCTGTATTCCTGAGCCTCGCCATTTCTTCTAAGATCATTTACAAATCATTGTTATTGCTAACTTCACTTTTCCCTCTGCTATTGTTCGTGCACTATTTGATCTATTATTTAGTGTATGTTCTAGTTTCTTCATTGCTTTGGTTTTGGGGACTGCATTTTTACGACGTTTCGATGAAATGATTGTCATCAATGCATGATGCGTTTGTGAAGGAAATAGCCGGCCTACCCGTCTCCGTAAACATAACCGAACATTTCGGCCAATGAAAAACAACCCGTTTAATCTAATATTCCTGTATCATGCTTTATGTAATGATTAGATTAAATTCACTAGACCATGTATTGCATTGTCATTAAACGGTACTTATTTATTCATCACTGACGAACTTTCCGGTTAATTGATCGGAAATTTTCAGTTTAACTTATGAGCAATACAAATAGCTCAACCTAGATTGTGATGGGCCAGACCTTAGTCAAAAGTATATGGTCCGTGCGATTTGCATTCAGTCAGCGCTAAATTGTTAACTCAGAGAAGCGCAGACGCTATCGCAACATCGTCCTACTTTTAGCGCTCTGTAAGCGAATAACCCGAAATCCGCATCATGTACTGGATGCGACGTTAAATATAGTGTTGAACGAATTTATTGCAAATGCCCTAACATAAATTTGGCGATTGCTAACTTCTCTTACTCTAATGATGTAAGGAATTCAACGATTAGGGTAGATGTAAGATGCAACGCACCCTCGTTCGCACTAGGTTTGATGCGTAAAATACACTTCACGTGAGGTTTCCATATGAATGCGGAGGGTTGGTGGAAAGCAAGTGAAGACTACAAAACGTGCAAAACGTTGTAACCGTATAGTGCTTTGGTGTTACAGATTAACTCATCCGGAGGTAAATTCCATCAAAAAGGAACTGCTTTCGGATACTTATCCATTAAGATCGTGGTGACATTTATGTAATAAACAAAATAACTCCATTGTTTGCTTTCCACCGCAGAGTTTCGGTGTGCCTAACGCTGGGTAATAATCAGAAACGTAATGTATTGACCCCGGAGATTACTCATTTTTTCCACAAGTCGGTGTGTATTCCACCACTTCAATGTGGTCATGTACACCAAAATAGAACAGGGGGTGCCTTTTAGCCTCATTAATTTGAGCACCCATAATGACAGAAGCAATGGGTGGCTAATGACACCGTTCATTTTCTCCTAACTTAAAGACTCTGATAGAAAAGTGGCATATAAACTTAAGGAAGAATGCCAACATGTATGTCCGGTAGCTACAAGTATATCCCCAAGATAAAATTCCACCAAGAATGCCTAGGGCTAACACTTAGTCCAGCAAATTGAACAGAAATATACGTTCCACTGTGATACTTCTAAAGATGAACTAATTCCTTTTAATTATCTCTACATGTTTGTCACATTAAGTTTAACAGGTCACAAATGCGTGAAATGTGCTATGGTTTGCTTTATTTCTAGACGTCCAGCAACATACCAGTGATAAATCACTAGTAGAACATATAAATTGTAATTTTTAAAATCTAACTTTTTAACGCTTCCTTTCGTTTGGTGGAAATTAAGTTGTTCTTTGATCAGATAACATGTGTAGCTGCCTGTTTACCCACAGGATAAATACTGCTGTGGCATACCTTGTTGTGATTTCTGCTCCACGGAGTCTCAAGGCTTTGCAACTCCTTGGCCTCTTCAGAGAAGACAAGATATCGTCGCCCTGGGGCCAGGGCAATGCCATGTAAGCGAAATTCCGCGGTAGAAGTGAACTGGAGTTCATTGTGGTTGTTTGTCCGTATTATTTTCTCCCACCACTCCAAGTTTGCTTCATCTGAATGAAAGGAGAATAGCGGGGGCTCGTTTCTTGTACTGGGTAGACTGAATTGGTCCTTGACAGATCGCAGCTCCATCACTGGACTCTGGCCTTGGGAGGAACTGTACGCCACGAAGTAATAGCCATCTGTGCATATAAAACGCCAGTCTCAGGAAAACATACGCTATGGTGGAGAATTGTAATAAATGTCGAAAGGAAATAGCGAAAATATGCTCAAATTTCCGGCAGATATCTACTTACCCTAAACTTCCTTAAAGGAAGGCTGACGCGTTGATTTCGAAAACGTGATATTTCCCCACTGTAGGCCTTAGAATGTTAGTAATAATGACAGTAGGCAGCTTCTGAGGGATTAGTTATTCCGTCCAAATTGCATCCCATACATCTTTGTTTCCTAAATTGAATAGTACGCTACTGTGAAATTTACCAGCAAACAAGGCTGTAAGATTTTAAAAGTTTCATATCATTCACTAATAATTCATCTTCATCAACAGCAAGAATAGCATTGCAACGTTCATTTGAAAAGATGTTTACTACGACCACATTGATATCTGGAATGATGGATAAGAGTTTAAGGAGAGACATGTCCCATAAAGGCTAGAGTCAAGCATAAGACTGGATTGTGTGGACTCCAGGCTGTAAGGCAACATGGATCAACTGTATCCAATTTGTTCATTAGTTAGTTCAATTGCTGCTACTAGATCCAATTTCCCTCCCCCACTACTTTGTTCCATCCAACGTCCGGTAAAATAATCAAGGTTAGGCTAGGTAAGAAGTGACCAGACTATATTGTACAAAACAATATGACTTATTCACTCATGATTAGGAGACTTTTGATGCAACTGTTACGAATTTCTCCGAAGTATCTTCCAAATCAAGTAGTACTGCGCTTTCCCGTGAAAGCCATAGATGATCGTTTAGACATATTGCCCCACACCAGTAGTGTGTATTCATCGGATTCATCAAGAATTTGAACCAATAATCCTTTATTCATGCAAATATCCGCTTTAACAGTTTCTTAATGCAATGTTGTACATAGCTGCTATCAGTGAATGTCGTGTTCTCTGCAACCTTCGTAAGTTGCATGGAAATGGAGGCTATGACGCACTATATCGCAGTTAGCCTGTAAATCATGACGGCCTGAAACTTTCTCACGTGGCCCAGTGACATAATCTGCTGACTGGGGGGTGCAAGCCTGCTTGTGATCATGGGTTCCAATCCTGATGGATTCGATGGATACGCGCTACTGCAGTCTAGTGCTTTACCGCGCAGGTAGTTGCTGTGAAGAACTCTCAAGTAATTGTGAGAATATCAAAATATATCCGCCCTAACACTTTCTAAATGTCATGCAGCCATTTCCCTTCAGGAATATTAAGAAAGCAAGAACGAACAGCATTTTTACGGGATAACCTGAATTCAGATAATGTCCTGCCTGACAAATTATGGACCTAGACCCTGCCAGCTCAATCGCTCAGCATCTGCTCGATTGTACTTGTGCAAAAACCCACGTGACGCATTCGAGGTTATCAGTAGACAAAACAACGCGAAGTTGCTTCGTTTCGCTGAAGTCTCTGCCATCCGAAGAATGAAACAAAATTTTTGCAAACAGCTAGACCTTGTGGCCAGTCTTGCCTTGCCCTGGTAGGACGCAAGCGATGACCTTGATTTTCTCAGTGTTTTAATGCTTTTCTTACTGACCCATTTTCAATTGCTTTCCTTTACTCTTTCCACGAATTGTCTGTAAGTGGCTGAATGAGGACACGAAATAATCTGAATTCAGGTTATCCCCTAAAAATGCTGTTCGTTCTTGCTCACTTAAAACTTTCTAAATGCTATGTCGCGACCACGCGCGACCACTCCGACCGCTCATTTGACCTTGCAACCACCACACTCGCTTGACCGATGTGCGCCGCTCTCAAAACTGGAAAAGCACAGTACGCCAACTAACCCACTGCGTCAGGTAATGACACCAATTTGAATGGCAGAAATGCGAATCCGAAAAAGCTCCAAGCGAAAGGCATTTGCGGATTAGGAGAATGTCATCGAGTAGTTAAAATCGATCTGGCTTGCTCGTAGTGTTTGGAATGGTATCATCCAAAATTTGCAAATGTGTCCCAACAACAGGTACTAGAGCGAAATAGTTCACAAGATGCGCTTTGGTACTGTACTGAGTGCCCCACCATCCCACTCGTTATTTGCTTGCTTACACTAGCTTAGAAGTGCGACCGGTTAACCGCAGAAGCCGAGCAGAGGATAAACGATAAGATTACTTCGATGGAAGGGAGTATGCACCACGGAAACGTAGCGGCCCCTAAGTAACGAAATGTTGCACAATCTTTTTCCCCTAAACCGCAATCAGCCACGTCTCATTTCCGTTGTCCTCTTCAACTTTGGTAGAACGCCGGGCGAAAACTGACCGTACCTAAGAGAGTCAAACGGTACTCATGGCAACGAAAACTAGACATCACTCGAAAAGTCTGGTTAAGTAAATTCCACTAAACCTGACATCTAGCGTTAACAAGGACGAAGCAGCTGAACGCCAACTCTCGGCACCTGTAGCTCAAATGCCTCTTGTCGAGACAAAGCCCCCGTAACATCAGTTACATATGCAGAGATTTGTGCAAAGATCCGCCGGGAGGCCGCCGTTGCGGCCTCTGCTGTTTTAAACACCGTTAACGAGAATAGAGGGACAAAGAGTAAACAAGCAACACTTGTCAGCATGTAAAGACTAATGAGTACCAACAATTGTAGATCAACGAAAAATGGATCCAGCAATATTGCCTGAACTGTTGGGTGCTCACATGGCCCTGAATCTATCGCCATTACATTGCGGGATAAGTTATCGGACGACCAAGACCAATGAAACTTCTTTCTTCTGAACTTCGGTTAAAGGTCACAGAAGCTTTTCACAGCTCAAATATTAAAGCAACTGAAGCAGCAAGCATACCGACGAATGTGTAGAAGAGTAATCTGACTACTGCTTTAATTGCCTCTGACGTGGGTCTAAATGAATAGTGGGACGCACCTTGACCGAATCAAATTGCAGACGAGGTATCATTATCTCATCAAAAAATGAGTAACTGCCGACTTCCCATCGGTCGGCATTCTCCACACACTTGACCCCTTCACCACTGTGTGGGCTCCTAGTGACCGAGAAATTGGCCTGTTTGTATACGAATTCTCAGGGTCTTTTTAATAAGCTGGCCGAACTGAAAGCTCGTCAAGCTTCCGGGTCATATGATGTCCTTGGTATCACGAATCGTATAGCAAGAGCTCGAAGTGTTTTTACTAACCTTCGCCACCTATGGCGGAGGCGCGACATTACTCTCGCCCTGAAGGGTAGAGTGTACAATGCAGCTGTACGTTCGAACTTACTGTACGGTTGCGAAACTTGGCCCCTAACATCGGCGGACATTAAGAGGCTAGTTACGTTCGACCATCGGTGTCTTCGCAGTTTGGCTCACATCTGGTGGGAACACCGCGTGAGTAACGAGCGTGTTCGACGCCTTGTTTACGCCATAGGAAAAGGAACAGAACAGCTCAGCACCGTTATTTCACGCACCAGGCTCCGATGGCTGGGTCACGTGTTGCGCATGCCAGCCCATCGATTTCCATGACGTGCGTTATTTGCTCACCGGGGATGTGGATGGAAAAAGAGGAGGGGTGGCCAAGAAACGACTTGGTCCAGAGGAATGAAGGCCCTCACTTCTGTGCTGGCCTCGGTTGGAGCGTCACGGCTCCCTGGTTGGGGTCCGAAAGACGATGAACAAGTTTGGCTGGATACACTTGCTGACATGGCAAGGAGCCGACCTCAGTGACGTTCCTGCTGTGAGTTTCTTTGTCCCTCCCCATCCTTTTTAGCCTCCTCCTCCACCTACGAGCTCATTTTTTAGTGTAAAACAAAATACTTTTTTGCCTAGTAGCCGGGTGGTAGGTTACTGGAACGATGCCTATCCGTTGCTGGTAGCTCGGCTGGCGTGCAACTTTTGTATTTATTTGCTTTTTTCATTTGTGTATTGCGGCACAGTAGCTGAGATGTTTCCCACCTCTATCTGACGTGTGTTATGATGATGATGATGATGATGTAGCACCAAGAGGTAGTTGCACACGGGAAAGACGGACGCTGAATTTTCGCTACCAGTCATGTCGCTGATCCGGAACGACAGGCTCACAAAAGGAGGAGAAGTAGCCCAGTATTACCGAAGCGACTTCCATTGCGAAGACTTGGAGGATCCAGGCTCGCAGTTCGCCGACTCTCTTTGTGCCGACTGCAGTTAAAAGGCAGGGACGCTTGCCTTATTGTCTTGGTGTACCGCGCCCCTAACTCAACACCCGAAACCGACTACCACCTAGCGGCTGCTTTAAGACGCAGTTTACAACGAAAGTATACTCACATACTTAGCATGGGTGATTTCCACGTACATTGTGTAGAAACTCTTGCCACGATCGGAGAACAAGTCAAAGCCAATCTACAGGACCTCATAATCACTGCTCCTTTTTACAATCACATCACTTGACCCACTCGGTTCAGAAGAGGTAACAGGCCGTCGGTGCTGGATCTTGTGCTTACCAACGAAGAGCATATGCTTGATGTGTTGGTTTTAGACTGCCTATCGGGTCGCACTGATCACACAATAATCAGTATCTCCTTCGTCTGCTATGGGGAATATCGGAATGAGAAGGATGAGACTGTACGAACCATCACAAGCTACGATCGAATAGTCCAGCTCGTCAGCCCTACAACTTGGTCGTTCCTTTCCGAAGCATCCCCGGAGGTCGCCTGGCTCGAGTTCGTCAACATATTTAGTCAGCTGATTGCAGCACCTTCAGACATAAGAGTTTGCAATAAGTGTCAATCAATTTCTTTCGTTAGGAGCGGAACTCAAAATTGGAGGATAGTACGCAACGCAGCATGGCGAGTGTACAGAGAAGCTCTAGCACCAGGAACTTGGAACAACTACGTAACCCAAGGTAACCACTGCACTCAACTGCTAAGAGACGACAAAGTCGTCTATCAGCACATCGCAAAAACCTTCAGTGTTAACTACAATCTGCTTTACAAACCCGTCAATAGCCTACAAAAGGTGAGGCAAGGATTTCCGCCACTCCGGACGGCTGATGGCCCAACA